TGCCTTCCTCGCCGTCCTCGCCCTCCAGGCGTTGGGCAGCAGAGGCGGACTGGCTCGGGCGGGAAGGCGGGAAATCCCCCCACCCCCTAAAAAGGTATCATTTCGGGTCCTTTTCGGAACCCTCTATATAGGCAATTTGCCCCTGTATGTAGGCAAATTCCCGACTGGGCCCCGGGTCCCCCAGTCCGGCTCTGGTCGTCTGTAGGATGCGATGCAGCAGCAGCGGCGCGCATCGATCGGATGCGCAGATCGAAAAACAACAACAACGACGACGACAACAACAACAACAAAAACAAGACGATGAGGAAGATCGAATTCCTTCGATGATTTTTCTCTTTTTATCATGTTGTGGTGGAACGGTTCTTCGCCGCCCGGACATCGTCGGCAGCTGCGTGTGTGTGTGTGTTTGTGTGTGTGTGTGTGTTCGTCCTTCTCGCGGTTCCTAAAGATAAAGTTATGCATATGCCGTACGGACGTCGCGCCGGCGGCAGGGCCCGCCCCCCGCCCGCCCCCGCCGCTGGCCTCTGCTTCCCTCTCAGCCTCACAAGCCGGGACGGACGGGCCGAGAATCCTAAGGTGCCGAATCCTTCTTTTTATTGTTTCCTTAATTTTCTCTGCAGCCCGGCATGGCCCGGGCTGCGCGGGGCGGGGCGAGGTGGTCCGGGGGCACGGAGCTGCTGTTACGTTTGGCGCCGGTCTTGTCGGCCCTCATAATCCCGCTGGCGTGCAGCCTGCTGCTGCTGCTGCGCCCCAGGAGCGCCAACAACAATGCGCGAAATGTGCGATTCCCGCTGCAGAAAGGTGTACGTGTGTGTGCGTGTGTGTGAAAATGGGGGAGTTGGGTCATATATGACCACAGAGTGTATACACTCCGTGATAGTGTATAACTCCAATTCAGCTGTAGGATTCTCCTTTTTAAAACAAAGTAAAGATGTCGACTCGTACTTAATCTTACATCAGTTTGAGTGCAACTGGACGCCTCGGTCCCGCCGCAGCCGAGCGGGTGGGCAGTCCCGCTGGCCCCAGGTGCGTGGCGGGCGTGCCCAACCCCCAGGCGCTCAGGGACAGGGCGCGCGCGCTACTTCCCTTAGAATTAAAGCGTACACCAATTTTTTTTCGAGATTTTCTTTTTATTGGTTTATTGATTTTAATCTCGAAGATTTTTTTTTCTTAATTTTGAAAAAATTTCATCTCGTTCCCCTTCTATCGGATTTTTCTTTTTTTCTTTTTTTGACGGTGTCCGTTATCGCCGCAGTAAGCTCGTCAGCCACTCCGAAAATATCGGAATGATGTGAGTCTGAGGTAACAATCTGCGGTCGGCTCGGGGGTCCAGAAGTCCGTGAGGAGCCTGGGAGAG